TTGATGACAGCTCAGCTGTCTCTTGCCTTTTTCTTTGTGGCATCTCTGTAGAGGGAAGGGTGAACACCTGTTATTCATACTGCCAGGGATTACTGTTTCACAAACATATCCCAACTGAAATTATTTGGTCAATATCTATTAATAAGTGGGAGTCCCTATCCTGGAGTGCTTGCAATTGAGGCAAAATGGATGAAACGTGGGAAGAATTTTATTACCATCTCCGGGTTATCTTTGGGAACTTGGGGTGAAAGGGAGTAACTTGTCAAAGGTCAAGTGAGAAGGCTGCAGTACAACTGAGAAATGTATCCTGTTGAAATGATTAAGTGAGGCCGTCTTGTTTTTGAAAAAAAGAGAAAAAGGAGGGGACAAGGGGAGAAGTGTTAAAATCCAAGCAAGTGTTCTTTACTATGTTATAATAAATAACACCTTTTGTTACTAAAACTGAAGGGGGGTTGTTGTTTTTTTTTTTTTAAACTCATTTTATTTGCTTGCCAATAAAAGCCTTATACACTTTGTTTACTTTTGGTAATCTCAGCCTAGACAAGGAAAATAGATTAATCAGTCTCACCCTTTTTCTGTTACTGTAGTTTGTAACTGGTTTCATTTTAATGTTCTCATGCACGGTAATGAGAAGCTGGGGTTGCAGTTACTGTAGGGGCTATTTCTAAAGCCAGCTAAAGTGTACTTTTAAATATGTTTGGAAATAATTCTTTTGGGCATAGCCTTCATGATCAATTGGCCTTATCAATTTTACTGTAGGGTAAACTTTTAATTGAAAGCATAACTTTTTGAAAACTAACGTTCTGTAGACAAAAAAAACAAATTGTTTCTCATCTGGGAAGTATCCTTGGAAAGAAGCCTAGGGGAAGGAAACCTTTTGAGGTACTCCAGGCATCAGTACTTCTGATAAGAGTTCTGGGAATTGGGGTCCTATAGATTTTGGAAATGTAGTAACTGCACATATCTAGGTAACAGAAGGAGAAAGAATTTGTTGACTTCTGGCTCTAGTAATGCAGTTGTTACTGAAGCTGAGTCACAATTGACTCACTCCCCCTGCAGCTGAAGAGGGGATGCAGTAGGCAGTAATTACAGCAGTAGTTGTGTTACCAGCTGCCTACATTCTCATGCAGAAATCTAGCCCCCAGATGGAGGGACTGGTGCTGCAGAAAGCATCCCTTGTGCTGTTTTCCTGTGACCGCAGAGCTTGTGTTATTGAGGACGCTTATGAGGGGATGAGGGAGGCTAAGATTAAATCACTAAGAATTAAATTGGTTCATAAGGATCTGTCTGGCACCCATACATCTTTGTCAAGGTAGTATGATGGCTTCTGTCACAAGAAATTATTTTTCAAAGGTGGACCACATTTTATAAATAGTAAGAAATGTTTCTTGAATATGGTTCCTGTCACAGGCCCAATTTGCTAAAATGGGAAGGTGTCCATGACACAAGCACTGATGATCTGAAGGAAGGCTAGCTACTGCTGACATGTTAGGAAGGCAATTGGGAAGAAGAGTGGAAACAGTAGGGTTTACAAATTTGACCTCAGCAATAAGAAAGATTCTGATTAAAAAGGAAAATATCTTGAAAGCAGTGAATTATAAAAGGGCACTGGCAATTCATATTGAAACAAAGTTTTTAAAAATATTGAGACCAGTAGAAGTGTTTTCATTATGGACTTTAAAAATTCTATTGGAAACTGGAGTAATAACAACCTGACATTGCAGCATTGGAAACTGGGTGGTGACTTATTTCTCTTCCCTTTGAACACTGAGAGAATTGTTTTTATGTATGGCTAATATTCCTGATATTTTTATTCTCTTGGGGTTTTTTTTCCTTCAATTTTTAGGTCATCTCTGCCTTCCAACCTGGAGATAAGACAACTCGAAGATGGGACTGAAGGTGTATTTGCACTGACTCAGTTGGTCAAACGTACCCAGTTTGGCCCATTTGAATCTAAGCGAATTGCCAAACTGGAAAAGGAGTCAGCCTTTCCATTGAAGGTATAATATGATGCATGCACAATGATACTGATGTGAAGTTAGTTCTAAGGTCATTGTGAGCACACCTGCAATATAGTACAAGCATTATGGAAAGAAATGGATAGATTTGAGAGAGCTTTTGATAATATCTGACATTAAGCAACCTAAATGAGTATTTCTGTGGCATCTCCAGGGGAGCAGACAGTGGCCCAACCTAGTGAGGCATCCTGCCTAGTATAGCCATTGCTAAAGCAGCTTTGTTCCATCTGAACAGAGAAGATCTACAACAGCAAGTGAAAGATAGGGATGATAGGTGCCATTTGACTTCTCTTTACACACTTGGTGGTGGAGGATGGAGAAGGATGATGATGAAAATTTTTTTTTTTGGTGTGAAAGTTCAGTTTGATCCTGTTTTCCTAATACACAATCAGAAAAGCAGATAATCCTTTTGCCTTTCCAGGTACTTAAGTTATGATCATACAACAACCACAACAAAAGTGTGTTCTCATTTTTGTTTCATTCTCACACCTTTTAAAAGTCTCAGTAAAAACCTATTTTGAGTGTTTCAGTCCAGTCTTCCCTTTCCAGTAATATCTCATCAGAAATAGGGATTTAGAAATAAGTAGAAACCAAAGTCAAGGGTTGATTGTTGTTTGGTGTTCTGGTTTTTCTCCTGGCTTCCCATCATTCATGAATAAAGAGGTTAATTGGCATTCCATTCTTCAGTGAGTAATTTTGATTGAGTTAGCTAAAGCAGGTTCCTTTGAGTCAAAGCTTTTGTTTATTTCCATTCTGTCTGTGACTTGCTGTGTGACTTTGCCTCAGTTTACTTAACTGTAAAATGTAGGTAATATCTGTCACACATGCTGGGTTAAATATCTGGGTGCTGACATTTAATTTGTGCTTGAAGTATTCTAAGTCTTTATCCTAAAAGCAAAAAATACATTCTAATTTATTCTTAGCCATTATTTTTCATAACCTTTATAGTATGCGTGACTGACAACTACTGCCCTCCTTGCCCAAACACAATGCAGGCCTCACTGTGTCCATATCCAGCAGGTCTGTCTTTTGTTGTTTTCCTGCCTGCTTTCCATGCCCTTACCTTCTGTCCTGGGGTGACAGGCCCTTTCTGGCTTCGTGTACTGCTGCTTGCAGCTGAGACCCACCACCATCTCCTGGTGCAAGATCTCTTATGGCTGGTCTTCCTTTCTGCAGTGTCCTTCAGCTAGGTCCTGTGTAGGCCTAGCTTTCCTACTGGCTTACTTACACCTAGTCCTCCTTGTAGTATTCCAGCTTCTTTGCTCAGGCCTTCTTTGGCAGGAAGTCTGTTCTCTTTAGATGTTGGAGTGCTTCTGCTCCTTATACATCAAATAAATAAATACTGCCATGGCCCTTTTATATTTCTCCAAGTGGTGGTGCCTCAACCTGTTCTCATTCTCTTTAAAAGGCCCTTCCCCTTCTTCCTTATTATGGGGACTAAAGGTTCTCTGTTACAGTGTGCATTCTGTTTCCATTGCTGTCGCAGGTTTTCCAGAAGGATGGGCCTCTGGTTTATTTTGATACCTCTAATGAAGATGACTGCAATTGGATGATGATGGTGCGGCCAGCCACTGAATATGAACACCAGAACTTGACTGCCTTCCAGCATGACAGTGATATTTATTTCACTACGTCCCGGGATATCCCACCGGGGACAGAGTTGCGAGTGTGGTATGCAGCTTTCTATGCCAAAAAAATGGAAAAGCCAGTGCTAAAGCAGGTTACTGCTATTGCCAATGGTATGTTTTGGTGCATCTTTAATTCCACCCTCCCCCTCCCCCCAGTGTCAAATTCTGCTACATGTGATCACTTCTGTGAGTGCTGTGGCAGCTGAGAATTGCTGAATATCTCAAGTGCTGGCCCTGACCCTGCATGGATAAGATGTGAAAATCAAACCATCTCACATGCAGGTTTCATCTTAAAAGACAAACGCTCAGGTTCAGCATCATGTAGCATCTTTAAGTAAAAGAGAAAATACGTGTCCTAATTAATAGTTCCAGGCTCTTAGGATCCAACAGACAGGAAAAGATGATCCTTAGCTGCAGGCTCTTCACTAAAAAGTCCAAATGCCAATATAACTGAAACATAAATGAATCACTAAAGAAATGATCCCCTTCTAATTGCAGTGAAAGCATCCTTTACTTTCAATAGGATGCTGTATAATTGCAGGCAAATGCATCTACCTTCAGCGATCTTACTTCGTGCCCTCTGAAACAAAATGATGAGTTCAAACAGGGCTTTTATTCCACATGATTACTTGAGTTATTTGCAGAGAAAGGCAGACTGCTTTAATAGAGTGATTTAAACTGACACAAAAGCTTTTATGTCTTTCCTCAATTTTCTTCTACCTGTACATTTCTGTATCTTAAACAAAGACCTTTTAGCATTACGGAGCATTTTTTATTGTTGTGCAGTTGCTAGGTTGAGTATAATTTACAGAGTAGTGAATGGCTTGGTGATATGCCAGTGTCATCAGTACACTTTGTGACCTTTTTTTGAGAGTGCAGCCTGAAGTATTATAAGGCTGCAGAGATGCTTAGGTCATTTGGCCAGCATTTATTATTTATCACGAGCTGTTTCCACAGCAGGTGCAAAGAAAGGCTTCCTTTTTCTTTTCCTAAGTAAAAAAAGCACCAGAGTAGGTTAATTTTGTATATGTGTTATGATGAGCTGAAACTGAATATCCTCTCTCCAGCTTTTTAGGTATTTGGCTGAAGCTCCAACTATGCTAAACATCAGATTTAATATAATGAGCCTGCAAATTATTCTCATGCAAATAATTTCAGGTCATCAGGAATGATAGTCAGTGGTCTGTTGCCTAATCAAGATTTGAAGGATTTGCATACTTCTGTAAAGGAATATATATGTATACAGTGATACATGTATCCATACTCATTGTTTTTAGGTGTATTCTCACTTGTGTATTTCTCAGTTTTACACTGGTAGGCATTCTGCCATAAATGGAGTTTCACCTTTGTTAGGAATTTTTGGGAAAGTATTTGTTGAAAACCTGCTATGTTAGTATAGCTGGCAGCATCTGTAGGTGTTGCCCTTGACACTGTGTCAGGTATTGAAAAGAACAAAAAGAAACTGTTTTTCTCCCACTACAGATATGTGTTTAGTTGTGATGGAATATGACAAAGAAGGGAACAGACTCACTTCAAAGTCTCCCAGTGCTGTTTTCTCACATAAAAAGCCCAAGAAGTCCAGTGTGCCTGAAGCTGATATTTCAGGTAAACAAAAATACTTTATCCTGTGTTCATTCCTATACTTCATGTAGCTAACAGTACCAGGTTAAGGGTCGTCTGGAGCAAAGGAGTCATTCAACACATAATGTGCACATGTGTTTATATGCACAATGTGTCAAACATTATAAATAAAATCATATTTTTGATTAGGTTTATTTGTATGCAGAGGTGTAACTAGGAATTGTGGTGCCCTGGGTGGAGGAGGGGGGGGATCAAGTGCTTACCTGTTTGCCCAGGGGCTCCTGTAGCTCCGGCTGTGGTGTTACAAGCTCCCCAATTGCGGGTGCATCTGTGACAGCAGTGATAGCACCTCCTCTAAGCTGGCACCCATGGCTGGTGTTCCATTCAGCTACCCCTCACTTTGCTACTGACTGTATGTCATATAATGTATCCTTGACGCTTAATGAAGGTAGTATTCAAATATATGTATTTTCATTAATCATCTTCATGGGTGTTTAATAACCTGCTGTGATCAAGAACGGTAACTGAGAGGGATTAGAAACTTGCAGGCAGATGTTTCTCCCAATCTCTACTAACTGCTTTCAACTCTTTTTTGGTACTTGGAAGCCTGAAGGGAATCTTTACTTTTCTTTTGTTCATAGTGTAGTACCTGAAATATAATTTATAAGTAGGAAACCAAAAAGATAGTGGCAGCCTGGGGAAAAATAGCATTAGGATATGTTAAGACCAGTGGCTATTCCTAAACATTGTATTAGTTAAATGAGAATTTAGAAATCTGATAGAAGTCAAGCTATGCTTGATTACAGTGGCTCAGAATTAGATAACCTTGTGAGCAAGGTGGTTAACATTGACAAAGGAAAGATTGTTTTAAAAAACATGCTTAATGTCACAGGAGTACAAAGCAGAGTATTCAGTATCACAGATCATGCCACTTCCGAAGGGAGACTCTGCCTCATGACTCCCCAAGGAGAAGCTTTATTTGGTCTCTCTCTCCTGAAGGGCTCCTGGAAGCTAGCTCTGGCATGGCTTTCCCAGTGGTCTGCAGCATTCCTGCCTCAAAGAGCTTCTTTTTGGTCATCTTCCAGGAATGGGGGTGTTTTCTAAGTGGAGGGGATTGGAGTGCTGATGTCCCAAACAGCACAGCAGACTGCTTCAAAACACACCATCTTATTGTGCCACTGCAGTTCCCTCTTTTCTTCAGGTTCTAGTCTCTCCTCCCTGGGACTGTTCCTTTCTCTACACTCTGGGACTTTCTCTTTACTGCATCCTCCCTGGAACTGCCTTTTTTCCTACTCAGTTCTCTCAGAGCCTCGCTTTTTCTCCTCTGACACAGTTAGCCATGCTTGCAACAGAAAAGTTACAAAACTATAAGATTAACCTGGGGTCAACACTAACCCAGTAAGACAAAGCATAACATCACAGGACATCAATCAAAGAGCAGTCTACAGCCTGCTGTCAGGCCTAGACTGCTATCTGTCCCTGGGGTGAAAAGGGCATAAAGTATTTACTGGAACTATTTATGGGAAAGTATATTCACACTGAGTCCCCCAAAAAGTTCCCCACCAGAACGGTATGCTAGAACTTAGTCTTTTTTGTCACATCCAGTAGCTGAGACGATTAAATTAAGAGGCATTAAACATTTGTAAATTACTTTATATAAATTCTATTCAAAAGGGGTCATCAGAGGTAGTTCATTGGGAAGCTGCTCTGCTTAGATTTTGTGCATTGACATTAAAGATGGCACTTTCTTTTTGTGTTACAGACGTGTTTAGAATATTCCACCAGAGAAGCTCATCTAATTAACCCAGATGCTGCTGCTATTAGAATATAATGGTCACTGAAAAACTATGTTCAGCAAAAAAACATAGATATTTCAGAGGGGTTTTATAGGTTTTAATTCTGGGACCTTCCTTCCTACCTGATCCCTGCGATATCCCCTTTCCCCACCAAAAAAAAAGAAAAGAAAAATCTTTGCAGAACTGAAATTCTGCATGTTTTATTTAAGAAATACTGGGTGCATCTACACAAGATGCTTACTGTGCATTAGCCTAATAACATTGCGCAGTAACATAGCAGTTGTTAACTGTACTGATAGTCTACTGCATAGTGTTATTAAACTGATGTGCAGTAAGCATCGCTAAAAAACCATGTGCTGGCACTACTGTGCAGTAACTAGTTACTGTGCATTCAGTTAGTACCTCTTATTAGAGGCTCTAAACAATGCTCAGTAACTAAGAAGCATTAATGAATGTGATGAATCACTGAAACATTCCTGTGGTGGCAACAGTTTGGTCTCCTTCGATGTTGTAGGATCCCTGGCTGCTTCCCAAAAGGCTGCCCTGCAGCCTGAGCGCCACCAATCCATGGTGATCTACAGGGAACATGGAGGCCTGAGTTCCCTAGCAGTCTACTTTGTAGACTGTTCAGGCAGTCAGATTTTTGAAACCCTGAGAGCTGGCTGCCCGATTTGGATTGGTCCCTAAGAATCTAAATGGGATGGTAGTAGGTAGAGTTGACATGCCTGAGCAATTCAGATTGTCCATACGCTAGCAGTCATAAAACACCCTGGGAGCCTAAATTAAATGGATATCGTTGGTTTGGACTGTAAATCCCACTCCATATCTTGACTGGGGCTTGTAAGCATACTTGGGTACGGTTTAGGTGGTTTGCCTATATTAGCATTAAATAATTTGTTCAAGGTCAAATAAGCTGTAGCAGAATCTGGAATACAGCCCAAGCCTCACAAAACCCAACCCAGTACTTTACTTCCTCGCTGCGGGATTCCTGTAAACTGTAAGACATTAAGGCCGCTTATAGATGTGAGAAAAGAAAACAAAATAGCACTTTACTTTCAGCTTGGCATACCCCTGTGCCAAACACAGTGTATGCCCACAAGGAGCATTGTGTTAGTTTGACCTCTTTTGCCCAGTATCTGTATAGCTCACACATTCAGCGGGGCTTTCTGGTGCTTTTATCTAATAGCTGATTGAATCAGCTATTAGATAAAAGCACTAAAATGCCCTGCTGAAGTGCCCAATCTATATACAGATGCTGGGGGGCTGTGTCAAATTGACACATTTTTGCTTCTGGTAAAGCACTGGGGAGGTTTTGGGGGGGTGGGGGGTCATGTCTGTCAGTGGCCTAGACTTCCCAGATAATGTGCAAATTGATGTTGATTTTTTTTTTTCAGATCCACCTGATAGGTCCTTTAATAAGCTGATTGAAACTGAAATGACTGTGGATTGTAAATACAGATTAACAATGTTCCTGATTCTGAGATCTTTTTCCTTTAGAAATTTAACTGAAGTTAAATGTGTTGCTTGGTTACTTAAATAATGAAATTCTGTGTTTTCTTTGTTCCTGAGATCTTATGTATCATACTAGCTAATTGCCCATCAAGAATGAGGGAGGGGGGCAGCTGGGGACAGCAGCCTGCATCCAGCCCCGGTTCCCCCCCCACACCTTCAGGGCCAGGCCTGCTACCCCTTTTCCCACCCCCGCCGGGCCAGGGCCAGGGCCAGGCTGCCCCCATTCTGTCTGCTTGCACTGCCCTCGTGTCTATCCATCGCTGCCACCTGCAGGGCCAGGGTGTAATGTTCAGCAGCCTTGCCCCCCTCCCCATCCTCTCCATTTTCAGGCCAGTTGTGCTGGCCTTGCCCTCCCCATTCTGTCTGCTCCATTGCTACTGCCTCCAGGGAGCAGGGCAGGAGGGTCAAGGCCAGCTGTGCTGGCCTTGCCACCCCTGCTCCATTCCCTGTGTCTCCACCATCACGGTGGTACTTCGCTGTACCACCACCTCCTGTCCAAATGCTGTATTCACACTCTGATTGGCTGATGGAAACAACCAATCAGAGTTGTTTCAGAGTGCAAATAAAGCATTATAGACAGACAGACAGACTGCGGGTTATGTAACCTGGGTGGTACTCCAAGAGGTACCCCCTCTCCCACTGAAGGGATCAAAGCAGGTGCACAAGTGCTGTGGGAGGTGTAGGGACTCTCTTCCCCCTATAGAGCAGATTCAGCATCCTAATGGGGACTTAACCATATACCTTTTAATGACAGAACAGTGCTGGGAACATAACCAGTATAAACCAGGGGGTATAGGGGACACAACCATGCCCCAAGGGGGCAGGATTCAGCAAAGGTTAGACACTTACAATCATAGACATATTCATCCAGTTGGCAAAAGACAGGGTTAACCAAAATGTAAAACACAAACAGCAGAACAAACAATACTGGTTGGGGAAATACAAAAGGCACAAAATGTCAAATGGCAAGGGTGAAAACACAATGGCCCCTTTCCACTGCAAGAAAAATTTCTCCCTGTTAACTCACTCATCCCAGGTCACACTATCTGGGACTTGAACTCAGATCTCCCACATGGTAGGTAGGAATACTGCTACACAGCCACCAGTGCTGGTACTACTCCAAGCTGTTAGGGGTTTTGACCTTCCTGGAGCCCCAGCCTCACTTGAGCTGCCTGGCCTGTGATTGGAGGAGCTGGAAGCAGAGCAGGGAACCTCTCAGGTCACTGCTCAGATCCTTGCTGGAGCTGGGGAGCCTCTCCTGCTGGCCACAGCCTCTCATAGGGGATCCTGGAGCCCAGTGGGGAGCCTCTCCTGCCAGCTGCACACTGCGCTGCTGGGGGTCCAACTGCTGCCTACAGGTCCCGCTCCTTCAGGTGCTTCTGGGGCAACTGCTCCCATCCTGCTGGCTCAGCTCTTTGAATCCCCTTCCTTGTGGTCCCTCGCTAGTCTCTCCTGAGTCAGCCACACTGCCTCTTTTATCCCGCACCTGGTGACCCAAGGGGCCAATCAGAGGATGTGGAGGGTGAGTCTCTGGGGCCTGATTGGTGAGGAAAGGGAATCCCAAGTCCTCCAATCACCTTTTACCCCTTCAGAATTCCTGGGCTAAGTCACTGCCAGCCAGCCCATCACAGTTTTATAATATTAGAATTGGCAAAATACCCAGTTCATTAAGCTGTTCAAATAAGTGTAGGGGCTTTTTCACTCCCCTTCACATTCCCTTTTGTGAAAGCATTTTGTTCAGTCCATATTCCCAGTTTGCTCAGAATGAGTAAGTCTGATTTAAGGTGGTCAAGATTGGTCATACCAAATATTCTTTGAAATGTGCCTTTGATTGCTACTTAATTTAGAAAGAAGAAAGGGAAAATGTACCTGAAGCTCAAGTGAGATATTGGGAAGATTGAAATCTCTTTCCTTTCTTTTTTAAACCCATTCCTGTTTTAGCTCCTAAAATGGTCTGTTGGCCTTCCAGTTAATTCAGTGTTAGTCTCAAGCATAATAATCTCCTGATGCTTCTTACATAAAAACACTACTTGGATATTATCTTAAACTCTACCAGACTGGTGAGATTGCAGCAGCTGCTTCCTTGGGTCAGTCTTATTCCTTGTTTAATCAATGAAACAAGTTGTTCTAAAGTTTCATAGCCGGGTAAACATTATTGTAAATCCCTCTGAGCTGCTGAGCAGTGGGCTATGTTCATATTTAAAATGTTTGTAATTTTTTTCTTTTTGTGATGTAGCAAGTACTCCAGAGGGCAGTGGGCCTCCTGAACTGGAGTCTAACCAGTGGATGTGTAAAGTGTGTTCCTCCACTTTCCAGGAACCTCAGCTGCTGACAGGTATGGGGGAAATCTGGAATTCCTGTTCAAAATAACCAGAAAATGTTTGGGCAGGTCCATCCTTTCAAAGCAAGACATTTTATAATCAGGTTGGTGGTTTTGCACTGTCGTAAGTTATAGGGTGTTATGATTTGTTTGCTTGTTGTTTAAGATACTAAGAAAGAACAAAACTAAGGTAGCAACCAATGAGTGCAGGCTTCTGTCTGATCAAATGTTATGATATTGTATCTAGAAAGAAAAATTGTCTAGCAGATGGCAGATGAATATTAACAGCAGAATAAATGGAGTTATATATAAAAGAGGGTGCAGACTTAGGGCTGCTCCGTATTGTCATCAAGTTGGTTATAGCAGCACAAAGGCATTGTTATATGGTACTGGAACATGTCATTTTCTTATGTTGTGTTTATAGTTATTGAATAAGGTTTCTCTTAAGAGATTAAAAGATGTAGGAGACTAACTCTAACTGGTTCCCAATGAGAATTCAGGTATGCCCACACCATTTCCCCTATGCTCCTGGGCAAACTCTTTTTGAACATACCATGCTTTGCACATGCCAAACCTAGAAATGAGGTGGTGCAGCCATGCTGGGCATGCCCACCACTGCCACTCTTGAGTTCTCAGTTTCCAGTGAGTTCTTGAGCAAAGGCAGGAGATGTCCTCAATGTGTCCACACCATCTCATTTTTGGTTGTGGATGCTGGTGCTTCCTTGAGAGTGGTATGCTAGGGGAGTGGTGTAGACATTCTCTCAGGCCTCTTAAGTTATCATTGAGTAACAGCTTAAGTTGTTAAATCTCTTAGGCACCTCTGAACACTGTACCCTTTATTGCTAATCTATAAACTTGTCCAAATAAATACAGCCTTTTGTATATTTCAGTCTAGGTCAGTGATGAGTCTTCCATTGTAAATGAAATGTTCATATATATGTTGGGTATTTTTCACTGCCCATTAAATACTTGAACTTGGCAGGGTTCAGTTAACCTAACGATAGGCTTTAGTGTAGGGGTGGACAAAATACAGAACGCAACCTGAATCTGGCCTGCCAGGCACTTTCATCCGGCCTGTGGCAGCCAGCAACTAATTATACCCCACCCAGCCCTTCTGCCCATAAGGGTGGGAGTGAGGTTCCCTCATATACAACCCCCCATCACCACCAACATACCCTCTTGTGCCTCACTCCCGTCCTCATGGGCAGAAGGGCCCGGACCAGCCAGCCCACAGCTTCTGGGCAAGGCTATGCTGCCATTGCTGCAGCTCCTGGGAGACCTGCTTGGCTTCCCCGGTGTCCTATTTGCTCTGGGCAGCGGGTAGGGAAGTGGTGGGTATAGTGGGGAGCTGCATAGCTGGACAGGAGTGTGGGGCTGGGGCTGGCAGCAGCATGGAGCTGGGGTGCTCGGGGTGCTTGTGGCCAGTACTGGCGCATGGCAGCACGCAGCTCCAGCCAGCACTGTGCATGGGGGGCTAGGACTGCAGCTTGGCCAGGCTGCCTCTATCACTGGGTCTCCCTGCCACCCACGTGCAGCTTCTGCACTCGCATGCCACCAGAGGGAAGCTACACGTGTTGGAGCTGGTTGCCTTTGCTGCTCTATGTTGCGCAGGTCCTGGGACTCCACTGGAAGTAGAAGGGAGCCCTTCCCTCTGCTTCCCCAGAGAGTCCCAGGGTCTGCATGGCAGGAAGCGGTGAAGGCAGGCAGCTCCAGCACGTGGAGCTTCCTTCCAGTGGCATGCAAGAGCAGGAGCTGTGCATGCAGAGTGGGGAGCCCCAGCAATAAAGGTGGCCTGGCTGGACTGCGCTCTTTGCCCCTATGTGCAGTGCTGGCTGAAGCTGCATTCCACCGGGTGCGAGCACTGAATGGCCGTGCCTGCTGCTGCTGCCTGCAGGGGCTGAGCATCATGAGAGGAGCGTGGGGGGAGTCGTCCCCCCATCCCTCACACCTGACAAACCCCACATGCCCGAACCATGCCCCTACAACCTCCTCACATACACACACACTGCCTCAACATGCCCTGTTGCCTCCCCACACACAGCCACACCCCCTGCACAGTGCCCAAACACCACCATACACACACCCCCATACAATATACAAGACTAAGACTTTATTTTAGAGTTATTGTGCAATCATCTCTGTATACGCTATGCAAACACAAATCATGACAAAAATATTTTTTGTAATAAAATCAGTTATAGTAGGTGTTTGATTTTTAATGTATGATTTTTTTTTTCCGTTCTAAGATGGCCCCCCCCCTTCCCCCCCAAAGGCACATTTCCGGAGAGCAAGGGGAGGGATTTACGGTGGCAAAGGTCAGGGAATAGGGGGTGAGATTTCCAGTCCCAAGATGCCAACCACCAAACTTCAAGCAGCTCTCCAGCCAAGATAATTGCCCGCCCTGCTTTAACGGCTTAGCTATCCATGTGTTTCAATCACGATTCTTCTCTCACCCTTGCAGAGCATCTGTTGAGTCACTTGGAGGAAGCCAAAGGAGTCCCCCAGACTAGCCAAAATGAAGGAGTTCCAGAAAAGGCTATAGAGGCTCCTGCTGCAGATCAGCCTGTAATCAGTGAAGGGGCCAGCCCCAACTTAGATGCGAGGAGGAAGCCACGAAGGGGAAGAAAGTCCAAAACAGCAAAAACAGAAACACCTCTTGTTGTTGTTGAAGACAAAGACCCTGCAAATGAGACAGGTGAGGCTTATAAAAGTAGCTGCCAGATAGGCTTCTGTCTTATTGGTTGTGTCTGAATATAAAAAGGCTTGCAAATCCAGTGCCCAGATTTGGGGCTAAGTGGTTTTTAGTTTATGTAGGTAACCTTTGAAAATTATCTCCTGTAATGACACTATCTTTTCTAAGATTTATGCCTTAGTAATAAACATCATAGCATCTGCACGCAAGTTTTTGGGCAGATTTACCAGATGAGGCAGACAAAGCTCAATTTTTCAGGTTTGGTTATGTATATGTCCTTTTCTTCAGGTTTAGTTTTATTAATAAGCAGAAAATACAAAAAGGCTCAAGGTAACCCAGAGCAGTGGGTAACAGAGTCCTGTCCTGCTTTATGCTAGCTAGAAAGGGAAAGGACACTTTCTGTCCCCAATATATTCCCTCCTGACTGTTTCTTTAAGCTTTCTTAACTGGAGGGACTTCTTTCAAGATCTTATCTCAACCCATGTTTTCCTGAGACTGAGATAGGAGCCCTCCTTTAGCGTCGGATCCATTGGACCATTGGTTTGCAAATCTGAGTGAGCAGAAGCAGCTTAGGCCTTCCGCTTTTGCACTGTGTTACTGTACAGATATAAAATTTGTTTGTTCCCAAGATACCATTGAGAACAAGAAAAATAGGTTGGACAATCATGTATAACAAGCACAATTACATTCAATAGGGTAAAAGCAAAGGAGGTTTGAAAAGGAGAGAACCTCAAATTTCAGGGGTAGTAGGTCAACCTCTACCTTGGAGTTACTAGGCAGAAATAGATAGGCCGACCCGGAAGTGGATTGGAAGTGCTTCTGGTCCACTTCTATGTCTGCTGCTGTGCAAGCTGGGGACCCTCCTGCGCTCCTGTGGCATCCAGCCTCCCCACCATCTCAGCATTCATGAGCCGCTTGGTACCTTGAGGCATGTAGAAAGAACATTTAAAGCTGTGTGTGTCTGAATAGTTAAATCTTTCCGAATCCATTTGGAGGATTCCAATTCAATCCAGAGAGATTAAAGGGTCTCCTGATTCGATTCAGATTCAGAGATCTGGCCACCGAATCAGGACAAATCTCCACTGAATCGAATCAGCGACTGAAGCTTTGCACAGCTCTGTTTTCTTTGTCTTGGAACCCAGTTCAGCAGCCACATGTCATTATTCATCTTTGTTTTAATTCATACTTTTAAATGACCTGCCTATTTTGATTTCAGTTAGATGCGAAGAATGGAAACTCTGGTTCTGTTTATTTCTAGAACAGAAGGATATAAAAGAAAGTATAAGGCTTCATTCTATCTCAGAAAACATATATTCTGAGTTTCATTTCATTTCTGCCTGTATGCATTTAAAGCCCTCCACAGAAATTTGGTATTTTTGTGTTTAATGTGTTCACAGTGGATCGTGTGGCTGAAATTATAACAGAGATCCCACCCGATGAGGTAGCTATTCCCTCTGCAGCTGAAGAAAGGATTATGGAACTGGTTTTAGGAAAGATGCCAAGCACCACAAACAATATTAGTTCAGTAACAAAGTAAGTCACATGGGATGCAGCGTCTTATAGCAGTGAAACCTTTCCTCGGGTCATGTCTACAACACCATTGTAGTTTTTCTTGCAGGGGGCATTGGCTGAGGGACTAATTTGGAACAATCAGAACCTGGCCCAACTCTGACTCTTTTTTATTAATGGGAGCCATGGTACAGTGGGTTCTGTCAGAGCCTTTTTCATCACTCAGCTCCATGTGTGGGTGTGCAAACTGCTGGTGGAGCAGCTGCTAATGGAGCTTCTGTGCTCCTGGCACAGTGGGGGATTCGTGCAGGCTGGAAGCATTATAAGTTAGTGGTGGGGTGCTGGTAATATAAGTTTCCGTCACAGAGTGTACTGCAATAGAACTGTATCTTCATTATGTTATACAAAGTGATTTATGAAATTCAGGCACAGCTGCACAGTTTAATATTACTCCCAGAGTGACAGAAATAAAAGTTCCAACATGCTACAATTTCTCCCAAGCATGTTGGGCAGTCCTGCTGCTAGTAGAACTTGTCAACCACTTCTGTCTCATCTAGCATGGAGGGGGTGAGGAGACAATACCTGTGGAGTTTGCAGAACCTCAGGAATTTGATTAATGTATTTACCCAGATATAAATGATTCCTCCCCCCTGCTAATTAGATGCTATTCATGGAAAATGTATACATTTGTTAGAATTTTCCATGTATAGAATCTAATTATTGGAAGATCATCTTAAATGTATCCCCCTTACTGCCACAGGCAATGAGTGGGGTAGTAATGGAGCAGGCAGTAGAGGAAAGCAGTGGGGGAGGTATGTGGTAGGGCAGGTGGTGAGGCAGGCATGCAGCTTGCCCCCTGCCTCCTGTCCTGTCCTGTCCCCCCCACCTTTACTTCCCTTTGTGCCTGCCCTCTGCAGCTGCAGGCTCCTGCCCCCCCAGCTTACCCTCAGTGTACCACTTCTGCCCCCCCCCACAGTCTCAGGCCTCTACCCCCCTCTTTCTTCTTCCCCCCATTTCCCCCTCTCTGTGCTGCTTCTGCCACCCCACAGCCTTGGGTACCTGCCCGTGTCTTACCCATCCTATCCCCCACTCTCCTCTGCCTGCCCATCAACCTCTTCCTTACCTTTGTCTCAGCACCAGCAGGCTGTCTCCACTGCAGCCTTGAGGCATGGAGCATGGCTCCAGCCCTGCCCCATAGCACTGCATAGAGCTGGCACTGCTGCTACAGGGCTGAACCATGCACCAAGCTCCAGGCTGCAGCAGCGCTAGAACCTGCAAGCACCAGAGCAAAGATGGGGGAGGGGGAGGCACAGAGGCCACAGGTGAGGAATTGTAGGGGCTACAGAACAGGCAGTGGTGAGGGGGTACAAGCAGCAGCTGGGGCTGGGGCTGTGGCTCTGACCCAGGGTTGGGGCCAGAGCCACAGCAGCCACCTGCCTCATGCCACCTCATGCTCAATTGTAAGATAAGCAGTTTTTCCTCTGTGTTAAGTGGTGGGGGGGACCTCATCTTGTAATTGACTAAGCATGGTAATTGCATATATTTCTTGTAAAAGATATTTTGTCTAAGTGAAAATAGCTGACTGAAAGATTTGTGGGTGTTTGATTGATTTCTATGTCAAGATTACAGTTAGTAACATAAATTGAAGCCCCCAGCAAGTACATAGCTATATAAAAGTATGATTCAAAAACATGTCACAAACAGTAGTTAGGAAGAGAAGCAGAATGATATTGCTGGATGGTTCTCTACATGCTGCTTTTGTTTGCTTTTCACATGAAAATTCTCAAGCTTTTGGAGTGAAAAGTGATTTTAAGGGATAATGAGAGAAATTCCTTTGTCTTCATTTGAGAGCACTGGAGATCTAATCTTTGATTCAAATTAGACACGTTTTATTTTTCTGGCTGAGGATGCCTGGACTAAATGCTTTTCAGGCAGCCTTGATTGCTTTCTATACATGGCTGGGAGGAGTCACCCCTGAGCACAGTAGCCAGGTTCTGATTTCCCCCTAAAGGCTGAGCCTAAGACTAAGTTTTTGCCATCTTCTAGCACTCTTTCTTTTCATCTGTGGGATACCTTTCAGTCCCTGCCTTTCTTTCTCTAATCCAGTAGGTTTACTCATCACCAAAACACCATGTCCCTCAAAAGAAGTTTAATTCTCTCCAGTAGACATGGAATACGGCGCAAGCTGATGAAGCAACTTGGGGATCACAAGCGAGTCTACCAGTGCAGCATCTGCAGTAAGGTCTTTCAGAACAGCAGCAACCTCAGCAGACACATCCGCTCTCACGGTGGGTTTGCGTGCATCTCTCTGCCGTCAGATAGCATCTCCATTCAGTGCCAGGGCTTGAGAGAATCTTAGATACTGCTAACTTTGATCAGTTCTATTAGTAATTACTTAAAGGCTTTTTGAATCAAGTTGACAAAAGCATCATAAGACACTGGTTTGAAGTCCAAGAAGATAAGTTCAAGCTAGAAATAAGCTTGCAAATTTAACAGTGAGACAATGTGATCAGTCTGTAAAGATTGCTTCTCTCTCCCTAGAGAAGTGCTGTGGTTAATTTCAAAGGCATATTAAGTTAAATGCAAGAATTTTTAGGCACACAGTAGGGTAGTGTGGCAACTTAGACCAGGAATGGACTGTCCATTCATAAATCTGACAAAGTAGGTTGTTTTCTGCAAAAGCTCATATCTAAACCAGTTACACTGTTGTGGTGCCACCCTCCCTTACTTTCTGCCTGACTTCAAGTTATTAACGTGGCTAACCACCTTTTAAGAATTTTTAGCTAAAGTTACATGCAGGAAGTCATGTTAACTAATCCTAATGATTCCTCCTGTTCTTAAAATCAGTGAGTCCTTTTAATTGTTAGAGGCTCCTGTTATGTCTGGTTAGCTTGCCATCTCACACGCTTTTTTTTTTTTTTTTT